CAAAAGAATAAGAGAATAGAAAATACTATCATGTTGACCGTAATGAAGTCAAACAGTTAATCCATGAAGTTGAAGCTTGAAGTAATATGATAAGAAAGAACAACGATGAAATTAGGAAAAAGTCCTATGGAAAATTTCCGATTATCTTTACCTATAAAATCATTTATTATATTCTCATCTTACAACGGTAACAGAAAAAGATATTTATGGCTTAACAGACCCACTATCATCCAAAAAAAAAAAAAGAGCTAACTGCTGCAGCGGAAATATTTTAGAGATAATGTGGAGTAATAAATCGTTGCACTTCCTTGTCAAAGACCTGATATTTTTCACCGACATAATTCGTTGCTCGAAAATTTTGATTACAGATGTGGATTGAGCACGGTGCAACAAAATTTTACATATATCACGACAGCTTTACTGAGGAAGTTAACGGAATCTTCAAAATTTATGAAAATGATCCAAATATTAGTATTGCACGCATACCTTGGGGAAAACTTCCTGCTACAAATAGCACTTCTGATACAGAAAATCTCAATAACCTTCTATATTCAGGCGGGGTAAATTATACTGCTGTATTATACCGCAGCATCTACAATTAATTTTGATACAGATTTTAACATTGGAGAAATCTATAGAATAAATAATAATTTTCTACAGCAAGTTTTGGGATATAACGACTGTATCATTCGGTCTAGACGGGAAACTGAATATTTGGCTTTGGTGGATTACGACGAAGTATTTGTGGTGTTTAAAGACCAATCACTGCTATCACTTATTGACAGTGAATTAAAAATGAACAAAGATTTTGGTGCTTTTGCATTCAAGAGTTCGATGATAACATTGAAGGTCAGTGCAAAAAAATTTAACTGTCATTTGTTTAACCGTCATATGAATTGAATTTAATGATAAGTTCTCAACAGTACTGCGAATTCTAGCCAAAAACACAGAAAAATCTCCGCTACTGAAATTCAAAAATTTTATAGTCATTTCCAGCGTCGAGAGTTATAAAAGTCTCAGTTACCTAAGAACTTTCTTGAAATTTAATGAGCTTTCATCTATACTTATGCAAGAATTCTACTCATAATCTCCTTCAGAATATGGATTCAAATGTCACACATCCCACAAATATCCAGTTCAATGATTACAACAATGTCACAGTGGAACCACTTGGATTGGGAAAAGTACAGCACTTTTAAATCGCTTCCCAAAATTCATTTTTCAGAATTTTTTCTAAATATAAAATAAATTTTGGCAGTCAATATAAGTGCCTAGGTCATAGTTATTCCTGAAGGAGTCGTTTCTCACCATGTGCACGAACCATTACAAATGGCAAATAATAGTTTCTTTACACATTTAATAAATTCAAATATCAGTCGGATTTATCATATAAAGTAAAATCTTGAATTTTTTATGAATATATTTAACAAATGATGCTTTATGAAGGTTAAATTCAAGTGGTAAAAACCCTAGTTTACTTCTTTGCCAACAAAGCATTCAGCTGACCTTGATATAACTTTTCAAGACTTCTGCGTATCGAAGATGTTAAACTAACAACGGTGCCACAGTCCAGCACTATCCTCGTTAAATACATAAAGAACTGGCAGCGGAGATACGCAAAACGACTACAACAAGAAGAGATCCGGCTTAAAAACATTGGCAATGCCAACTATATAACTCTAAGATCAAAATATTGGAAGAATATTGGCCTAAAAGTACTGAATTTAAGAACCAAGATTAGTTTAAACAAATGCATTCCGGTAGACAAACAGTTGACCTTAAAATTTTTGTTGAAAAAAAA